GTGCGGCAGGGAGGGACGGGCACCTCCCCGTGTGGAACACTCCCCCACCGTTTTGATCCCTTGCTTTCCCATTTTTTCTGGATCCTTTCTTTATCACATAGTCCCTTTATTCTGTATCTTTAATATCTCTATTAGCCTTTTTCTTTCAGTCCGAAGTGTTCTTCAATTTAAGAAAAATAAATAAACTTCTTAACTTCCTGTCCTCTGAGGCCCTGACTTTTCATCCTCCTCTCCAGCCTTTCTCACCTCAGCCTCTGTGAGGGGAGTGGTCATACCCCGTTTCCATCATCTCTCATTCCTGTACCTCCCACTGCAGTTTGGCTTTAACTTGCTCTTTGCTGCTGAATTTGTTTTTACTTATCACAAAGAAATGGCTTTTTGCATCTCCCACGGAATACTTTTTCCTTGATGACGTGTCCGCTGCGTTTGACAGTACTGAGGACTGGTTTTGTACCTGTGCTTCGTGACTGTTCTCTCCCGTGGCTCTGCTTCCCCCTCTTTTTTTTGACTCTGCCTTCCTGCTGTAGGCAGCTTCGGACATGGCTGCCAGCAGTCTGTCTGCTGCGATTCCTGCTCTGTGTAGGTTCCCTTTGAGTGTGGACTGCACCTAGTGACATGCTTCTAATGAACAGAACATGGCAAAAGTGATGGAATGTTTCTTCTGCAATAAAGTTATAAAAGACTGTGACTCTTGTCTGGCTGGCATTCTCTCTCTTGCCCTGTGTGCTCTATGCCGGAGATGCCCTTGTGGCAAGGAACCGAGGGTAGCCTCCAGCTAGCACTAGTGAGGACCTGCAGCCCCCGGTCCAGTGGCCCTTGAGGAGCCAAATGAGCCTGGAAGCGCATCCTTCCCCTGTCAAGCCTTGTGATAACTACAGCATCGCGGACACCTTGTTTGCAGTCTCTCAATAGTGAAAGTCTCTATTAATAATACAGTTCTTATTGTGTGTGATACTGAGAGATGAGGCTAACATACATAAAAACTGCAGGTCTGTTAACAGGCAGTTGATTTCATATCAGTCCTGTTTGTTTTTAATTGTACTTTTATAATTGGCACCAGAATTTCAGCTTGAATTTTATTTTCTGGTTGTTTCTCTTCACATTATTAGCAGTGCTAAAAGCTATAAAATGTCTGAAAAATACACCATGGTTAAATTTGAAGAAGGTTCAGTGAGTGAATGTAGATCATAAACTTCTAGATCCTGCATAAATCAGTATGTTATGACCCAGCAATCCCACTCTTAGGTATTTATCCAAAAAATCCCAAGACATTAATCCAAAAAAATATATGTACCCCTATGTTCATTGCGGTGTTATTCACAATAGCTAAGACTTGGAAACAACCAAAATGCCCATCGGTAGATGACTGGATTAAGAAACTTTGGTACATTTACACAATGGAGT